GCCTTCCAGTTCTTTTGAGTTCAATGTTGGGTACCGAACCAGACCTCCAAGCACGAGCGGTCAAAATTCAATATGGCGGCATGGCGGAGGAGTTGAACTCGGTCAGTTTTGTAAACACAACACAAATACACGGCATAAGTTACCTCTCTAGAAAGAATAACATTGCCAGGTAAGGTTGTAACAAATTGTATGTATTCATTTTTAAAAACGTCGTATTTTAAAAACTTTGTAACGTCCGAAATGTGAGTTTTTTTATTTTTCGTCAAGTTTTATAATTCGTGTTTTGAATTTCCACCAGTGATTTCCGCGCGCGGTTTGCGCATTTTACGCTTCGTGGAGGACTGGTTCGGTACCCAAGCAGCCTTCACACTGAGCTATATAATAATTCCTGGGGGACCGGTTCGTCATTTTTCGGTAACTTCGCCGCCATCTATTTGCACAAAAAAACATGGCGGATTTTGCCTTTCGAAGTTTTGCTGACGCCATATGGTCCCCTTTGCCCAGGGTAATTACCACTGACCAGGCTCAAATCTGAGCCCGCTACAAGAGATGCTCCCCCCTGGTTTATCGAAACAACAGTATTTCCCCCCTGGTTTTTTTATGAATATCTTTTTTGCCGTGAAACATGTTGGAAACCTTGTTGTTTTGTATTTTTCGATCCATTTTTGTGCTACAAACCGTTGCAATAAGGCGTTTATTTCAGTTCAATCGTGGACGCTGTTTTGCCAATGCCAGAGAAAATTAATTTTAAAACGTAAAAAAAAATTGTGGACGAAGGATTTTTATGTACGATTAGCTGACAGGTTATTTTATTTATTTATCTATTTTCATTATTCATACATTTCTGTATAAAATTTTTGAAAATACTTGAATATTTTTCGAGTCTTGTCAGAAATTTGGATTATCTTTTGGATATCAATCGACGACTAGAGGTTACCGGCAGAAAATATGTACTCTTAACTGTACTCTATAGAGTACACCCAGAGGACAGAGCCAGAGGGAGGAAAAACCATTGTAAATTAACAAGCTTCTATTAAGCCATGATTATTGAATTTGCATTTGACAAGGCAAACAAGATAACATACTAGACTTCTAACAAACACTGTTGAAATCTAACAGTGAAATATTTTGTATCAGCACTTACACAGTCATCATGTTTAATGTTTTAAATTCATCTAAAATAGACTAAGGATCAATAGAGAGACTAGTAGATTCACTGGGAGGATTGAATATTGATTTATCTTAATTGTTTGAATGAAAATACTCATGAATTGGCATTAAATATGAGTGAAAGCTCAAGTGCCTGACATTTTCAAATCCCATAAGAGTTCTATTAAGAAAAACATAACCAAAACTCAAAAGATCAGTTATTCATCTTTTTTCATAAAATATAGTTTTTCATAGCGTAACTAAGTCATGTACCATTGATCAAAAAGGCGGAAGCATATTTGCCGTTTTTAACCGACATTAATTTCAAAGGAATTACTGCAACAGACGCTTTGGTAGTTGTCTATACCAAAGGCGAAAAACGAAAATGTTATGAAAACCGGCTTACCTGAGGTAAAAATTATATGTACAGCATCATATGTAGAGCAAGAAATCACTTCTCCATTTAACTTGTTGAACAAGGAAAAACAGTCTTTTTAGATGAAATGCGGAGAAAATATATGCCGAAAACAATACCGAAAACAATACCGAAAACCAAAAACATTTTCATAAAAATCGGGAGGGTGATGGACACGTTTTTGACTTTGTATCGCGGTATGTCAGTGGTAATTACCATGGGCAAAGGGGACCATGTGGCGTCAGCAAAGCTGAAAATCCGCCATCTTTTTTGTGACACTTTTTGGTGGCGAGCCGGTCCTCCAGGAATTATTTATATATAGCTCAGTGAGCCTTCATGATCCGCCATGTTTGGCTTCACACTTTGAACTGGAGCGAGCCTTCCATATATGTAGAGTTCACTGGTTGAGACTCTTTAAAACACAATTGTAATTGCCAATTGCGTTTTTTGAGACACTCTGTACATTATTATATGCACAACCGCACTGACCGGGCTGCTTATGCCTGTATAGACATAGATTAAAATCGATTTTCAATTGATCCCTTAACCTTTTCCGCAATTATCCCACACAGCAGGTGTCATCCTAAGAATAAGTTACAACTGCGTATTTTATATAGCTGCTTTAAGATCCAACGTGAGTTGTTGTCACAGGAGCACGTGTCCTCCTCTCGATTGTGATGGATATAGCTGCTCCGCACAGAATTTTTAAAATTGAGCTGTTCTAAATAGGAATTTCATCATTCTAAGAACACTTTTAGGGGAAAAAATATTTTAATGGTACATTTTGTGAAACTCACAATTAATGTGGGAAGTAACTAAAGTACTTCAGCTCTTTATGAATGCATGCCTATTTCCTTTGTAAGAAACTTTCTTCGGAATTGAACATTTTCTATCCAGAACTCAATTTTTAGAACTGCCTATTTTATACGCAACGAGTTATAATACGTAATGAGTTCACGGCAACCAGGTATATAATCCATCGTAATTATCGCTACTCTGGTTTTAATAAATGAAAGTAATCACCACACAAAGATTAGCTTTCACAACCCAACGTTTTGACACTCCGGTCTAGTGTCGTCATCAGACCGGAGTGTCGAAACGTTGCGTCGTGAAAGTTAATCATTGTGTGGTGATTACTTTCATTTATTAAAACCAGAGTAGCGATAATTATACGATGCCTATTTTAGGTTTGATCACCACCCATTTTGGCATTTTCGAATTAGAATTTAGAACTGCCCATTTTGGAGAGCGGGAGGCCTTAGAATGACCCCTGCCACACAGTGCTACATTGATCAAAATGAAAGAGAATAAACATCTTTCTTTTCTATCACCCGTTTTAAAGACTATTGTCTTAAACGTAATATCTAAAGTTGGGTTTGCGCATTGGCTCTGCTTATAAATGCTTACAATGCGAGGCCCGCTTTTGATCGCCATTCTTTTTAAAAACATTTTTCAGGTATGCAGCTTCTTATATTAAGCGTTCTCTCACTAAACACGTAAGTAATATTTCAAAATTCAAAACAGATTTATACCAGAATTTTATATGCAGCAACACTATACCTATCTAATAGATAGATTCAAGTACACTGAATTATAATACACTTTTTTCAGGTCGCTGAAACGGCGTTTGCAAACATTTGTATTTCTTATTCTCACCGTTACAACAGGTACAAAACATAAACTTGGTGGGCACTGGGTAGCCACCCCCCAGAGACATTTAAATCTCAAAAAGTTGGGCAAACTTTTATTAAACTCCGCCAAAATCCCGCCGGGCTACTTTTGCTGACGTACCAATGATATTTCGGGCAATTTGTTCTCGTAGGTCGGGTACAGTAATTTTTGCTAAAATCATTCTGTTACCCCCCCCCAAAAAAAAAAGGGGGCCTGTACATCGATGTCTAAATGTGCAAGTGTTTCCAGTTCACTGACACGTACGGTGTTCCGTTGATAATCACTTTAGTTAACCTATTTTTATTTTCGTATTTTCAAGTTAAATCTGAAACTGAATGTTTAAATGGATCTGTGTCCAAAGGGGAAGAGATCACACTACCAAGTGATTTGGGAGACAAAATTCACCCACCTCCGAACTATGCTAAATGGAATCTTGTTAAAGATAATAAAGATTTCCTTCTTGCTTTGGGAGAACGCGAAACTGGGTCACCCTGGAAGTGGTCCGTGGCAGGTGTGCATTATCAAATCAAAGATTTGAGCGAGAACGGTGACTTGAAAATCAAGATAACGGACGAAAGATTTGAAGGAAAATATACTCTGAGTTATCAGAACATAACACTTGCTTGTTATACGGTGCAGATATCTCCATCAGTCGCACAAGGTATTTGAACGTGGAATAATATAACTTTTTATGTATTTAAAAGGATCCACAGCCTTTTATTGGCTAATATATATTATTTATTGTCATGTCCAACAACTCATTAAGTGACCTCAGATGATGCGATTTTTTTCATGCACGCTATGACGTCATAATGTATGATAAATAGTCGTATTCCGCGTTATGACGTCATACCAATGGCGAAGACATCAGCCTAGTCCCTAAGCCATACGTTCCTTAATACACGCGGCGAGGCAGGAAGTGAGAGGTCTAGAACAAAATTTTTTATTTTGGCTAAAGTGGGGACTTTTTGTCCCACTTTCTGTATTGAGGTTAGTTTACGATCTACGACGCGGTTAGCTGACCTTGTTCGACGTCGTTAGTCAAATATTTTGCTTTAAATAAGCTACGACAAATTGATTATGCTGCCAGGACTTTTGAATTATTCATACAAACGTTGCAATGTCATTCGCTGTCAATGCTATTGAATATCGAGTAAACTCGAGTCCGTACGTACATGTTTATGATCATAATAAGATTCAATCCGCCAATTTCAATTATTCTTGCTTCCTTTATAACACTTCCTGTTGTAAATTGCAAGCATTCACTTTGTAATAACAATTCTTAATAAAAGTTCACAACATTAAATGGGTCGTTAACATTAGAAAACATTTTGGGCTGGGCCTTTCAGGCGTGTTTCGATTTGAATACGTCACGGATTTTCAACCCGCGCAATGAGGCCTAGGGACTAGGCTACGAAGACATCAACGTCCAGAGAGAACGGGCATGTAAAACGGGCACAAATTCGAGCGAACAAAGTTTTAATGTGTATTCTTTTAGATAAATAATAAAACTATTATTGAGTTCAACATTTAGGTTCGCTATGCTTATAAATGAATATGAACTAGTGTTTTTGATGAGAAAAATTCGAAACATGCGAAATTTGGGTAAAATTTTTTATCTGAGGACCTCACATTGTTATGAGCAGAACCAATGCGCAGAACGGACTTGACTTCCACTTTAATAAAAAATAATAATTAGTTATGATGAATATTTTACAGTTGACTACTTCAAAGTCGTGAAATATGAAGAGGCGTCCGCGTCCATCCCGAACGGAGTGAAGAGACAATGGGACAACGTGTTCAACATGTCCACAGGAAATGCAATCGATTGCAACATGACAATATATCTTTGTCGTATAAATTCCACAAAACCAGATGCAAATATTGCCAGGTGCGAGGTTAGCGAAATCGTCCGTTACCTTCACGTCGATTCTTGCCATTTTTCTGTGGAATGGAACGAGACGATGAACAAGACTAATTCCGGTACCCAAATGTACCTGCAATTTCCTATGTCAGACGTTTTTTCCAGACCCAAACTGTTCCTGCTACCTACAAAAGGTCAGCCCTAAGTCGATCTGCGTGTTAATCGATTATTCATAATGAAATATTTAATTTCATTTTTTAATTTTTTTAGTAATATCAACTGATCCACCGGAAGGGTCCAGTCGAAACCACAGCTCGGCAACCACGACAACAGCAACCAGCGAATCTAATTCAAAAACACAAATGACTTCACCCATCTCGACAAGTCCTACAATTACAAAGCAAGGTATGCCACGCAGCTTGAGGTGTATTACCCACCAAAAAACCAGAGGTACAGATTAGGGGGATTTTGAGAGCGTGGCAGTGATACCCCCTTCTTTTGTTACAAATAGCCCGAACAGCCTGTCTGGAAAACTCCGAAAGGCATTGCCATTATTTTGTGTTGCGCTTTCCACTTCAATCATGCACTACTCGTTAATTAAACTTGTCGTTATTGCCTAAAAAAAGGGCTCAAAATAACGGCTCAGATATCTCAGGTCAAATGTGGTCAAGGTTATCGCTTCACTCTTTTGGCCGGTCACTAATTCAAATTTAAACACCCCGCGTTTACACTACGCTCGATTTATCGGCAAGGTAAGCAGCTAAAATTTGTTCCCGTGCCTATTTATCCTGGCCCTGCCTTTGTATTGGTAGCCTGAGCACTAATAAAATGAATACAGGTACCAATTTTAGCAATTTAGTACTATTATGTCAATAATAATATGGCGGGTCAAAATTACAGCCAGGTAAAATAACCGGTCAACAAGCATTTTTGGCCAGTCATTGACCATCGAGATAAAATACTATAAAATCAAATGAGAAAATTGCATAAAGGCCAGATTCCACGGGCGCTTTTTCTCGGTTTCTTTTGACCACTTGAACCACTTTTGATCACTTTTGACCACTTGAATAAATTAATTTCGCTTGATTGGTGACAATTCAAAAGAAGCAGGCGGAATATTTCGCAATTTGCTTGAAAATTTCATCCGTATCAGGGCTTAAGCCTGTTTTCCACTTCAAACGAAGCGAAACGTAGCGTATCTCATTGTTTTAAAGTCATTGGTCTTGGTCGAATACTCCGGAAACATAGAAATACGCTACGTTGCGCTACGATACGGTTGAAGTGGAGAACAGGCTTTAACCACTCTTTATGGTTACTCGGTTCCGTGCTATAACGCTGTGTCGTACAGTTTAAGTTAGGGAGGTTCCTCCCGTAATGATATCTATTTTATAGCTGAATATCTCCCTATCCCGCAAAGAAAATCTGGTAGTGCAGTCTATCGATAACTCTTCGCATGCTTAAACCATATCGATCCTTAATTAATTAATAGTAAACCGTCTGGCATGCACCAATTGGATATATTGAGTTGAAAACAACTTTAAAATGCTTAAATTCACTGGATTTTTTTTCAAAATCCATACTAACTATATCCATAGTATGAAACTGAAGGCAATTAGCCTGAGTATTATAAACTTCCATACTATTTCCAACTAGAATCCATACTATTTCCTTAATATGGATTTTTAAAAAAAGTGAAATTTTGTAAATAAGAAGCGTATTTTTATTGAAATCTTGCAAAACAAAGGCGGAATGTAAGTTACTCAATAAAGGATAATTATATGCATGCATAAGATATCATGGTTTTATCTCTTACCAATTCGGGGAAAAGTGAAATTTCTTGCCGAAAAAGACATTGTTCACAAGTTCATTTCATTTATTTTAATAGCAATATGTCCATCGACGACTCGACCTGATTACTCAGAAACTGTACCACCAGTTACTGGCTCGGAACCACCCGAAGTCTCAACAAAGGAATTTGTTATTACCAATACCAGCGTATGTCCAACTTCAGCTTGTTCCTGGAAATCGTTAATAATTGCAGGTATTTCGGGTGCAGTTGTACTTGCAGTTGTAGTAATTTCTATCTTCATGTACCGCCGGTATTATTTCCGCGTACCACAAGTCGTCCACTACGAACCAACATCCTGCGTTGAACTAAATGAAAATTATTTTAACGCGAAAGAGATTACTCATAATGTTGATCATTCCTCAGTATCGAATTGAACTTCCTTATTTCGTGTAAATAATTTTCTTCTGCCAATTATTCATGTCCGGGATTGTACAATTAGGTTAATGTGTAACTAACCACCATTAGCAGGGGGGTGTCCAATATCCTGTGAGATATATCCACGCGAGAGTGTCTCGCGTCTCTCGAGTATTTTACGCGATATTGATGAAATTGCGTTTCTTGTATGTTTCTTGAAACGTATTTCAAGTAAAGTCATGCGTAAAATAGAGAGCATCTTAGGATGTGTAGAACTGCAAAGTTTGGTTGCGAAGTGTGGAAAATATCTTACAGAAAAGTTCACAAATTTTGTATTTATTTTTATTATGTGCGGTTGAAATAACCATTTCTAATTTTGTCTGTCCTGGAAATTTGGCTAACCTCAAGAAGTCGATAATCAGTCGTAGGATTTCATGTTTGGACTGCTTCACTGTCCAGAAATGGTTCGAAATCTTGCTCAACATATAAACAGCGTGCTCGAGTTATAAGTGGTGTACCATTTGGCGTTTCATATTTGTACAGTTCATATTTCTGTTACGATTATATATTTTTTCAGTAAATGATGATATTAAATTGATGGTGATATTTATTTTGACCCTTGAATGCCTCTTGACTCTTGGTTTAATCGTTACATTATAGTGCATGTTTTATATTAATCCTGTTTTAAAATTTGAATCGCCATTATTTTGAACTCAGAAAACAAAAAATATCCCTGACATACCATAAGGCAATATCAGCCAAAAACGTGGACTGAAAATTACAAAAAAAGAGCAAACTATAAATCCCACGTGTCTCGAATTTGTGTCTCTCTCGTGTTTTACACGCGTCGTGCACACACACGCGCAGATATCGATCATATCGGAGTCAAATTGATATTTTGGAAAAATTAAGGCGCAGGCAAAGCTGATTGATGTTTCCATATCGTCTATTTCAAACGGAGAAGAGAAAGTGGAAAATGATGGGAAGTAGAGATGTAGGTGGATATGGGTTTGCGGGTAATTACTTCCGGTTTAAATGGTTCCGGGCTCTCATTTTATTTCATTTCATTCATTCATATAATTAAAATAGTATTCCCGGTCAGGGCTTTTCGGTATGGTCTATTTGACTACTGTATAAAATCTACTATGTTGCAATATTATTTAAAATCGGGTAGTCGAAGATCTGTAGCGTTTTGCTGTTTCTTGTATTCAGGTCGTGTATTCATTTCTTTTCATGCAAAGTCTAGATAAATAAGGTGGTGCCAAACCGTTCATACATTTATATGATATTAGTGCTTCCCTATATCTTCTGTCCCTCTACAGGGAGCCAACCAATTTCTCGTAGTGCATGCTGGTGCATGTTATATGATCATATCTTCCAGTGTTTGTCACGACTCTACAAGCAAAATTCTGGACTGTTTTCAATTTTTTTATGTTTATAACTGAGATTTTTGACCAAACTGTGGAGCAGTAGTAAAGTCTGCTCATTACTAGTGCATTGATGATCAAAAGGAGAATATATCTGTGTAAGCTGTCTTTCACTCTGTTTATCTGGCACAGTTTTGCCATACAAGATGATACATTAATGTTTTTAATATGATAGTCATACGTCAGATAACTGTCCAGTGTTAATCCCAGATCTTTAGCATATATGGTGTAATCTCGTCGCCAATGAATGTGATTGTCGTCTCCTCTTGAAGCTTACCGAGAAGTTGGCAAGTTCCGATCAAAAGTAACTTTATTTTCTCTGGGTTTATCAACAGTTTATTTTCTCTAAACCAAGTTGCGACCAAATTGAGATCTTCTATGCTTGTTTTGGCACCAGCTATGTCTTCGATTGGAAATGACATAAAGAACTGGAATTATCCACGAGTGATTCCAATTCGGATGACTGTGGTACTCCAGGAAGATCGTTTGTATAAGTACAAAACAATAGTGATGACAGTTACTGTATTGCTGCTCCCTGAGGGACTGTGGGTGATTGGAAGGACATCAGATACGGAGGAGCCAATACGGACAAACTGTTCCAGTTTCTATCTGTGATGTAGCTTTCGAACCAGCTGAGGGCTTCGCCTGAAACACCAATATTCCTTAAATTGTCCACACTATCAAATGCTCATGAAAGATCTAAAAGAACTAGGATTGTGGGCATTTAATCGTCCATCGATTTTAGCAAAAAGTCATTGACTAATATGCTGAGTGTTTCCGTCGAGTGCTGCTTTTATTTCCACTTTGTTTAGACGACAAGCGACCTGTGGAGCTTACATAGGAATTTGCTGAATTGTTTAAAAGCAACTTTTCCGCAGATCTTTGACAGTACATTAAGCAGTGAGAGTGGCCGGTTATTTGGAGCAATTTTGTGGTCGCCGTCCTTTAAAAGTGAAATAACTTCTGCCATTTTCCACGACTCTCGGAATTGGGAAGGTCGAGGTAGGAAACGAGGTATTGATAATAATTATCTGTCAATAGGCCCAGTATAACTGGAAGACAGTCGGTCCAGTCCCTGATGATTTGCATATTAATTTTGTCTGGTCCTGGGGATCTATTTGACGGCATGGATGTTATTATGTGTTGTACCTCGTGCATGTAACAGGACTGAACTTGAATAATTCCGTATACAAGGGTTCAAGTCTCGTATCTTGCGACTCTAATCGATCAAAGTATTTAAGTTATTTTGAAGAGCTAGCGTTTCAGCTGTGTCTGCGGCAGTTTTCCCAACAGATTGAAAACAACTGGCCTGAAATCGTTGGCTACTTCTGAAGTGTTTTTTGGTAACTCAAATGGTTTCTGTCTTTTGATGGAATGCACCCATTAATCACTTTCCACAACGATCTAGGGTTAATATCTTTCTGGAGTTTAACTTGGTTTCGAACGTATTGCTTTTCGGAAGCCTTTAGAGTGGATTTAACTGATCTTTGGGCATTTTTGAATGCTTTCCAGTCTTCCATAGCACGTGTTTGTTTATAACGATTGTGGAGTTGATCTCTGTTGGACATGAATGTTTTTATGTCTGTAGTAATAAAAGGAAAAGAGATTTTGATCATTCTGACTGGAGCATGTGTATCCAAAGTTGTAAGAACATTGTTAAGCTTATCAAGTTTGGAGTTGACGTTTGGGTCCGAGAAGATAGGAATAAGCTCTTTCCATCTAGATGCAAGGTTAACAGTAAACTTTTCACCGTCGTAGTTTTTGTAGCCTCACGCTGTAATATATTGCAGTGGTTGTTTAGGTAACTTCATGTTAAGGACTGTGCATGTACACCGGCAAATGATCGCTTATTATAGTGTCCATGCATGGCACCACTTTCAATGACAAGATTGGGAGTTAAAAGTTATCACCTCAATTAACGATTCGCTAGTTTCTGTTATTCTGGTTGGTGATGTAATTAACTGATTCAAGTTCATCTCGGACATGAAGTTTCCTAGTGCTGTATTCTCTAGACAATTCTTTATAATCCCCCAGTATAAAGATGGGCTTATTTAGGAGGAAAGCTTGGACTAGCCTCGGCTTCAAGTTGTTTTCAAGACAGGGCGGCGGACAATGTGGTGGTCTATAGGATATGCATTACGATAGATCTTGACTTTTTGCTCTGACTGCCTTGACGGTTTACGATAATTTTAGGGTCGTCCGAAATTGACGATGTATGAGAACTAATCAGATGTTGTTTTGCTTGTTGGCCAATCTTCTCATTCAGCGTAAGAGTGTTATGTTTCCCAGGATACCCTATCACACCGAAATCGCCGTTTACTGCACTGATCAAACTTCTTTGATTGGCGCCCGATCGATCGCCATTTACCGTGCATACGAAAGGCAGATTTGATAAAAACTTGCAAAGACTCGTAGTCTTTGCACTATACATTTCACTCTTTTACCATATAATACTCTATAATTTATAGCTTCAGCTAGGGTACCAAAATCCCAATCGGTGGTGGGATTGTCAACATGCATGTTAGAGCTTTCATATAAGTACAACCGTCCGCCATATTAGCTCGTCACAATTAAGTCGGTTTTCCACTAGCGATATTTTTCGCGCGAAGCGACTTTATTCCTTTGTATTTGAGCAATTTGTTCCAGATGGTTGCAGTTGAGAGCTCGGAAACAAAAGTAAAATGTCGCTTCGCGCGAAAATATCGCTAGCGGAAAACCGGCTTTAGACTCAACTGTGTTTAGAACTGCGTATATAGATATAAGCCTTTGTTATATAGGTGCTGTGTATTTTAAATGCGATTGGTTCATTCGTAGACACATGACTTTAAATTAAATAAATGCAAATGAATGTTTACCGCCAGGAAAAAAAGTGAAAAATTGTCGCCCGCATATTGTCATAACAAAGTAAAGTGCTTTTTTTATAAATGAAATTGTTGTGTACCATGTATATTTTTGTTCCTGTATAACAAAGTACTTAATGTACACTACCTCGGGAAATAGCGAGACTTCGTTTCGGGAAACATTCAGACTCTTGGGAAAACAAAACTCACTATTTCCCTCGGGAGCATACATTAAGTGTACAGGGTGTATCAAAAAAAACGCAACCACTTAATATTCATGAATATCCTCTTTGTTCTACAACACAAAAGACGTTTGGCCCCTGGAATGCGAGAAAGCTTATAATCATATTCTAGCGGCACAATCGTCGGTAAACAAAGTCGGGTGCGTAAACCAACGAGCTGAATTGAAAGTATTTAACGAGTAAAATTTTATTTACAATTTATTTTACAAGGTCGACAGTTAGCATTCAAGTTATCATGCACGACAATAAAAACTCGTTGTTCAGTTGTTAGCTGCACCATTATTAGTTTAGCTGATTTGACTATTAGCAGTTGAACTGTACGATTAGAAGCCATTTTAAAATCCCAGGGGCATAAAATCTATTGAGCTTATGAACAATATGAATTTTAGAATATTAAGTGGTTGCGTTTTTTTTGATACACCCTGTATACTATATAAAGGTCGTGGTTGATTCAGTTTTCTTATTTATACGAAAACAGCTTTGGGCTGAAATAAATAAAATGCTGAAGGTGAAATTTTTCTTTTCGTCTCATTTTCTTCAATTTTTACATTTTTTAATTTTTATTTTACGTTTGCAATTTTTCTTGTATATATAAATGATTTTGTACTTTAAAACACAAAAATTCAACAAAGAATTCGTGCTACGTTTTTGATTCTCTTTTTTTCCGGCGTTTATTGACAAAGTAAACAATGTGTGTTCCATGGCTATAGATGTGCATTTTTTGAGGTTTACCACAGACTGATGTACGAGGTATCCATTATGTCGTTGATATCACCTGCCGTAATATTTTTTGCTCCTATTATTTTCCACACAAACTCTTTATTTTAAATTATATTATTTCCGTTCATTGTAAAATGTCACACTTTTGCGTTATAGATGTTCTTAATTGAACACATTTCCATTACCAGAATTTGGTAATAACAAAATGGCTGTCGCTTGTGCGCTAATTTGTTTTAATCCATGCATAATGGCCTTCGAATTTTACTATAAAATAAGTTGAGTGAAAATTACAATATTAATATAAAACGTCGTAATGCTAGAGCCACAGACTTGGCGCACTGGTTGCTGACTTCTAGGTAGATAGAACAGCTTTTTAGAAA